ATGATTTTATAGCTACTGCAGTGCATGGACTAAAACACGTAAATGTTACTAATTTCTTAGCACAATATACTCGTATGCTTATCCTTCTCCTAAGTATTCATATGCAGTTTTTCTATTTTTACTAAATGAATATTCAAAGTTTAACTACGTGGAATACCGATAGTGTTTTGTGCTGTGGTGATTCTGATCTATTTGGCGTTACGTCGTTGGTTTTTGTATACTGCAAAGTTATGAAAGTGAACAAAATTTCGTGACATGAATGATTGCGATTGCAATTGCTCTGTTTTCTTGTTTCTCATCTCAGTCTCTGTCTGCCACTCTCTAATATGGGACGAAAGCAGATGGCCAGATGTTCAAAAAGGGTAGTAAGAAATCACGTTTGGCACCGGATTTTGCTGGCGTTCCAAAAGAGAATTCGGTCCAAAATTGACAAGACGGGTTCGAAACACAGCCATCAGAACATCTGTGTGATTTTTGCGTGTGCTGATTTACGATCAGAGCATAATACAGAACTTAATCCAAAGAACAAGCCATTTAATCTTATTTTCCGTATTTTACGACCGTTTCGTACCATTACAAGACTGATTAAATTAGCCCACCTTGAAGGGTTTTACGACCATATTTTATGGGCGTTAGCAATTTTCAAAGCAATCGTTTCGGTCTTCTAGTGGCGACAGTGCGACACGATTATTATGCACATTTTTACATTGCCAAAGAAAATATCTTGAAGCGCGTTTCTGATTATTGCTGCGATCGCTCTCTCCATTATCCATAAATCTTAGCTTGTCACAGAATAGTCGACAAGATGCAGTGACCTCCAGAGCAGAGGCAGTGGGTTTGTCATGAACTGTAAACGTCCGCGAACGGATAGATGAAAATCAGAACGAAACAAGTCTGAAAGTTTTAAGTTAAGCCAGTTATAAAGAGCATGTCACCAATGGAAGACACCCATAAAATGTTCTTTACTTAGGGCCATCTGAGGTTTTGAACCAAGCTCGGTCCGTCCTTAGAGTACTCTGAAGCTAATGCAACGGGTACTCCTGCCCTGACCATGTTTTAACTCAGTTAGGACTATCGAGCAGTACCGATTCCAGTTGCCTTAAATTGCCAACTTTCTCGATTTTAAAGATGCATTAGGTTCTCTACATCTTCCGACAAAGTTAAAGTTTCGAACCGCTATGGGATGCCTATGCACATCGTTTCCATTTTGGAAGAGACGTATGCACAAACCGTGTCTGCTGCCAAAGTTGAAAGCGAGCTGTCTGAATGGTTCCTCATTAAATATGGAGTTTGCTGGCAGATGCGGTTCGTCATTGCTGTTTAATATTTTTTCGACTTTCCTCTCTGAAACAATATTCATCATGGCAAATGTTAAGTTTCTTTTCGACGGAAGAAGACCAGTTCAAGATATCTAGCTAGATATCTTGCTTAGCTGGAATATGTCGATGATATCGCCCTGATGAGTAGTATGGGAAGGTGTTCTGTCACGGACCACGTCATACAAGAAAGAACTGTGTAAAGTGGCCTTTTCCATATTTGCCGGAAGTCAGAAGTTAAAGGAATCAGGATAGCCGAAGCCTCGACCATTTTTGAAACCTGATCGGTATTTCGGATGTTAAGGGAATTGCTCTTCTGAGAAAAATCCGCTAGTACCTTGAATTTGTTAGGCCAGTCACGTTGTATGCATGGAAACAGCTGTTTTACGAAACAGCCAAAACGACTATTGAAACACACACAGCAGCTTCGGCTTCTACAAATAATGGGGGTACATGGTAAGGAATAATTCTATTTTTTTCGG